TACATATAATATATATATATATATATACAGACAGAGAGATAATGTTACTATAACCAGAATCTGAGTGTGTGTGTGAGCGTGTTTGTGTGTGTGTGAGAGAGAGAGAAAGAGAGTGTGTGTGTGTGTGTGTGTGTCTGTGTGAGTGTGTGTGTGTGAGAGAGAAAGAGAGTGTGTGTGTGTGTGTGTGTGTCTGTGTGAGTGTGTGTGTGTGAGAGAGAAAGAGAGTGTGTGTGTGTGTGTGTGTCTCCACGTTTAAATAAACCAGTCCAGCTGTTCCCAGTGATAATTTCTGTTTAATTTGACAGCAGCTCGTTTTCGCCCCTCTCGTTCCCTCGCCTGTTTCCTCTGCGCTGGAGCTGCAGACATACACGCCGCACTTTTTGCGCTCTGTTTGTGTTGGGCTTTGAAGAGCACCTAATGTCTTTTCACTCTGGTGATTAAAATGCTAATTAGTTGTCATTTTGATTATGAAGGGCTCTGGAGGTCTAAAGTGTTTACTGTTTACAGTGATGAGCCAAAAGCCAAAGACGAGAGTTCGGCCAATTCAAATGTACTTCATGTAATAGAATCTGCTTTTAATGGTCACAGAAATTATTAGATATGACAGAATAGACCTGACTACACCCACAGTCCAAAATTTCATTTTTCAATATATATATTTTTAAGTCGACTAGTGCTTCTCAACTGGAGGGTCACAAGGAGTGTGTGAATTATTAAAGGAATTTCTGCATGGAAAAAAAATAATACATGCTTAAACTAACCATGTAATCGTGCATGGTTAGGATAGCAAAACAGATATGCTTATCAGCTTAAAAGTTGATACGGAGGAGAAAACGCTTCCTATATATTGCTGTTGATGGCCAAGGCTGTCAAACGCATATTTATCTGTAAAATCTCACCAAATAAGACAGATGCAAATATGGACAGGTCGCATGTCATGCCTAAAAACACGGACAAAACTATGCAAGCTCCAAAAATATGATCCAGACTGCATTAAGTAAGGGTTCAGTTGCTGCAAGCGTAACCAGTGTAAGTGGCCACCACAATGTGTTTTTGTGTGGTGAATGACTGGCTGCCGAGAGCATGAAGACATAGAAATTCAAGAGACATTTAGAAACCAAAAACTCAGACTATAAAAACAAGCCTGTTGAGTTTCTTTAAAGGATATGTCTGTCTGTCTGTCTATCACAGAAATTAATACTTTTATTCAGCAATGATGCATTAAATTGATCAAAAGTGACAGTAAAGACATTTATAATGTTATAAAAGATTTCTATTTTAAATAAATGCTGTTTTCTTACCAGTTGTTGACCTGCAGGATGGTCAGTCCAGTGTCCTGGGACAGCTGCCTCTTCTGTTCCTCAGAGGGGTACGGGTGCTGCGAGGCACATACAAACTGAAGTTGATATGAAATAGTGTTCTCAACCCATTTTACTTCTGTAATATAACGTTTATAAGTGAAACAGAAATCTTTGATGAGAAAAAAATAGTGGTCCGGGTTCGCCTATGGTTTGGTAACAAACAGCCGGGGTATGGCAGGGGAGGCTACGGCATGGCGACTGTCATACTCTGCCTATACGGAAACACCACCCCTGATTAAAATGCATTTTAACAAAAATGTAACTGTAATATTAACTT